GGCTTCTGCTGACATTGAAACATGTAGGAGAGCTTCCTTGCCTGATAATGTATTTCCACCCCCATGCACTGTTCACTTCTCGGTTAACTCTTTCTCTCTTCCTTACCAGATCTGCTGGAGAAGTCAAGGGTCACTTTCCAGCTCAAAGCGGAAAGAAGCTACCACATATTTTACCAGATCATGTCCAACAAGAAGCCGGAGCTAATTGGTAGGAAGAATCACTAACTTTTCTGGAGGAAAATGTTGAAAAACAACATATTCTACTATCTAGGTGACAAAACTAAACCTCTTTCTCATTTGTTCTTGTGTTCAGACATGCTCCTCATTACCACCAACCCCTATGACTATCATTACGTAAGTCAAGGTGAAATCACTGTTCCCAGCATTGATGACCAGGAGGAGTTAATGGCTACAGATGTAAGTAACATACCAGAAAAGTTCCGACTAACACCATCTCAAGGGTGACATGGTGCTCTACTGAATATGTGCAATTACTTCTTTGTTTCTACTGCAGAGTGCCATTGACATCCTGGGCTTCACTGCTGATGAAAAGACGGCCATTTACAAACTCACGGGGGCTGTCATGCACTATGGGAACTTGAAGTTCAAGCAGAAGCAACGAGAGGAGCAGGCAGAGCCAGATGGCACAGAAGGTACTGGAAGAAAACACGCTAGAACCATAATGTCTCCTGGTTTCTGAGTAAAGGCTGCTGATGCTGGAGTACTGGGCAGAAGATGGGATGCCTGAAAAACAAACGTAGAAACTAATGCTCAGAAAGACTTTTTAGACTCTGGATGCTCAGGAGAACACAGACTTTGTGGTTTGAATTAACATATTTTTGTGCAATACTTTTGAGACAGTCTCTCAAGGACCAAATTTTAGATATTGTCCAATATTCAGTTCTTCTCTCACTCTCTCTCTGTGCTTAGTTGCTGACAAAGCTGCCTATCTGATGGGTCTAAACTCAGCTGATTTGCTCAAAGCCCTGTGCTATCCCCGAGTCAAGGTTGGGAATGAGTACGTGACAAAGGGTCAGACTGTGCAACAAGTAAGAAACATGATAACCTGCAACCTCTTGAATTAAGATGCCTATGATTCGCCTCTGTTCTGTTTGGTAAATTTAGACTCTTGTTTTAGGTTCATAATTCAGTGGGAGCTCTTGCAAAGGCTGTCTATGAGAAGATGTTCTTGTGGATGGTTATTCGCATCAACCAACAGCTGGACACCAAACAACCCAGACAGTACTTCATTGGTGTGCTGGACATTGCTGGCTTTGAGATCTTTGATGTAAGGAACAGATTTTTTTTTCTAGTGGTTTCTTAAAAGGATGAATAGGAATAAAGCAAATTTTGAGACATATTAACATATTTTTATGAGGAGTTAGTATCATTGTACACTTATATTCAGGGTTTTGGGACTGCCTTACATTTCTTCTAGCAAAAAAAAAATATTTAAACTGTCACTCAGGAAGAATTAGGATTATGTAGGAAATTCTCATTCAGTTACTGCTGCACCTTGATAGCTCTTCATCTCTTTTTATGCTTGGCAGTTCAACAGCTTTGAACAGCTCTGCATCAACTTCACAAATGAGAAACTGCAACAGTTTTTCAATCACCACATGTTCGTGCTGGAGCAAGAAGAGTACAAGAAAGAAGGAATTGAATGGACATTCATTGACTTTGGGATGGACCTGGCTGCTTGCATTGAGCTCATTGAGAAGGTAATCCTTCTGTTCAGTAAATGTGCAAGAAGAATGGGAGAATATGATTTCTCTTACCATGCCATGTGAAAATGGCAAAAGGATGTAAGTGGTTCTGGAGATCAGTCTTGAAATTCAGGACTTTAGGTGAAATTACGTAGTTCAAGTGTACAAAATGAGCTTTCATGAAAGGAAGGTAATGTACTGATAGTCCCTATCAGCTAAGAATTTGTCATGTTCTCAGCAGAAAAGACATCTATAAAAGCTAAAATGAAACACCAATGCTGAAAAAATCCCAGTTATTCTTTTTCTCACTTGTTTTCCAGAAATGCAGGGAAACATCATCTTCGAATTTCTTTTGCAGTTCCCTGTCTTGAATGCATCCTTTTTCGCACCAAACGATGTATGATTTCTAATTTGGATTGCCTTCTTGTCTATTGCCTCTACAGCCCATGGGCATCTTCTCCATCCTG